CTTTTGTGCTACATAACGATTAGCGGTTTCCAGTGAAGTTTGTAGTACTAGTCATTAGTTTTAGCCCATAATATATCTTATTCTAGTTTTCGGACATTCCATCTATTCATTCTATTTGAGTCATATGTTGATCTTGTCAATTACTCGCTTATCAGTCTTGATTGTTTTTGTATGAGCGTATATATGTGTGTACATCATATCCCATGACTCATTGCATGTCTGTAGCTTATTTTTGTCTGACTATTGTAGCGGTAAATAAATCCCCAAACTAAATAGCTCTGTAAGTTTTCAACATTGGATGCTGACCATATGTTTTAGTGAACAAATCTAGCTGAAAGCGCTCAGTCATGCATCCACACCAGATCACGTGTGGCAACGTTGTGCTCAACATCTACCGCAATCGCTAGCCAGATTAGATCAGAGAATTTCGATATATTGGTTATCGCCAAATAGACTCTTCCGATCTCCTCGACTCTGTCTTTTGATTTCTCTCGGTGGGAACAAATTATATTAGAAGGTGTTACTGGTAGAAGCGTTGTCAATCACTGAATACCTGTATCATCCTCAGGGCCATCTGTAATTTCGAAAATGCGCCGACTAGCTTCCGAAAAGGTAAGATCTGCCAAAAGTGAATTCGGGCGTATGAGAGGCTCGGGAATTATCTGGCAACTAAACAACCAGTGAGGGTTACTTTTCCACTTTTTCCTTATAAGAGAGAACCACGCCCGTTCATTATCTTTTCGCACACATCCACGGCCTGACAGATACTATATAAGGCAATTAATGGTCTGGACTTCATGAACGCGCATGTGAATGACTACTTTATCAAAAGTCTGCATATAACATCCCGAACAAAGAGTGTGTACCTTGTTCTTCATTGTTTCTAAAACGATGTCACCACTGTTAGCACTCAGAAACGTCAGATCTGGACTGATTCCTTTGTTCTTTTCGAAGATAATGTTGACGATCGTATTTGTCTTAAGTAAAATAAATTAACGAACATTCTGGATCTCGCGAAACCAACGACTTTTGAATAAGCAAGCACGTTTAACTATCTCTTAAGAATTCATCGACGGTAAAACTTAATTGAGTCTCTCCTAAGAGATACTTGACAGACCAACTTCTTGGAAACGCGAAAATCGATAATTTGAACGACACCAAAGGTAATCAACTTTATTTTAAATCTTCATTCTTTGTTTCATTTGATGTCCACCACGAGTGACTTTTTTCTACATCGTTAGAATGATTCAGGAAGTTTTGGTATTATGTCATGATTATTGAGTCCCTATCTCCATGGAGCTCTTGCATTTGACCGTCGTGTTCTCTTGTTTCACCAAATATGGTTACTCGTCAGCCCTTAATGAAATTGCTGGATGATCTAGAAGTATTTGAGTTTAGTTAATCCCCACATAAAAACTCAACAATAGAGGACTCTCGGTTTTCATCCAAATGGTACTTACCTCTTTAGTGAAGTATTTATGATATACTTTAGTGATCACTCCATCATGAAAATCAATCCTTTGTTTGAACTGTAAAAGAGGCTTGTGACTTCGTCTCGGCAAGGACACTAATTTTCATGTGCTTTCTGTTATCGTGGTGATTCATTAGAAATTTATTGTTAGATGGATAAAAAATGTGTGTAATTTTCGCAGCAAATTTCAAAATCGCAGCAAAATACTGCAAAATAAGTAATATGATGTTATGACTTTACTCTGTTAATTGTTACGTGACAAAACCACCAATTGAGACGTCAAGTTATATGACATTTTTCTTGCGCTAAACCAATGATGCATCAAAACAGTACTAGAAGCCATTCATCAACTCTGAATCCTCATCGGCCCTTCACACCTAGCCCTACCTATTGAGTCCAGAAAGCAATCTCGGCCTTGCTTTCATCGGTGCAAGGTTTAGGCTCTCTCCAAACTAATCACTCATACGAAAATATGTCCTGTCATTTAGAACTACAATGAGACCATTTCCGTCCACTTCCCGACATTTTTTTAGAACGTTTTGAGGATCGGATTAAACGTTCTGGTATTCAGCGCATTGATTACTTAGCCATCTTCAAATATTTGGTAAGCGAGTGAAGTGCTTGTGTAAACTTGTAGATTCTGAAACACCATCTATAAAGTTGCAACTCGAGTGAATCAATTCTAGGGTGACAGCTGAAAATCCCTGAAAATTTACGAAACAATAAACTCCTGATTTAGAAAAAGATTTGTGAAGCTAACCAACAATAAATTATCGTTATCAGCACGTTTATCTGATAACATAGGTTCCTACTCAATAGTCTGTACGCTTAAAAAAGTATTGTGGTTGCTCTAAAACGTGTCACATATTTTGTAACAAAGGAAATACTCAGAAAGTCCTTCAAAATCGCTTCATCACATATTATCGACATTTCCTCACTCTCTACTTTGTCCTGTACACCAACTATTATGGAGTGTTCTAACAACTATCTTCTGCATTTTACATTCTTATTTGTCTCGGATTTATTATCTGTTTTAAGTTATAATTTACCCTTAATGTTAAATTTTGTCGTCATATTATACTCGGACTACTGACAGTGAGTTCATGTTTGACAAAACTAAAATGTGCAGTGTGGTTTGGTCAGTGATATCTGACATCCGACTGTCAGATGGAAACGACTGCTCTAACATTTGCAGGTAGATATTTGATCCTTTTTTGCTTGAAATTCTCAGGCACGAAACACTTCTTTTCCAACCATTACACTATTTGGTGCCCAAAACAACGTTGACTATATGACACAAGCTGTACTGTGTGAGTCACTATGCACCTTTGATATAATTTTTTTCGCCCATCAACTGAGAACGGATCGAATTAAACATATAATTTGTGCATCGATAAATTTAATACAAGTGGCTCTAAAAGGCTTTGTGCAATATACGGCAGAATCATGCCAAATTATACTTACTTTGCGTAGTTGATTGTCCTCGATCATATCAACTATTGGAATTTCAGTCATTGTAGTTTTTAATTGAGCAGTTATTATCTACTGACCAATACTAGTGAAGTAAATTATGAATTGGGTCACGAATTCGGTGCTGAATGAAGAAGAAATGCAGCCAGTCATGCTGCAAGATATTTTTCCAGTCCAGATAGAGGAAAAGACTATTGAACCTTTAAAAAGAGTTGACCACAGAAGATAAAAGAGAATATGAGTTCTGAAGTGTCCTCTGCTTCCGAATGTGATGAGAAACGTCATGGGTAAGTTCGTAGTTTTATTAGCCACTCCAATGTTTCTAGAGACAAACTGACTCCAGAAATACTAAAACGAAAGAAGATAGAGGTAGGTATGTCATTCCTAAATATGGGTCTTTATCTCCCAAAAGCAGAACAACGTAATATTGAAGGCCAGCCAACAAAGTATGGGAAGTTCATCTGGCGAAAGATGACAGCCATCAAAATATATTCTTGGTACATTATTGTAAAAGAAAGGCTTGAGGTGCTATAAAGAAGCGAATCGTATTCCCACCATCGTCTGGTTATCGTAGACGGTACACGAAATAGCCCGGAGATTGTTGAGAAACTTGACAAAATGTAATAGTGCAGAACATGATGATGCAAAAGTCTCTTCTAAGCTAACAGTTAAATAAAGAATTGTTCTATAGAATCTATGCAAATGATTTACTCAGTAGACTTTAATCTGGACCTTAGAAAGTAAAGTACGATAGCAGCCAATGGAGTTAATGATCGAAGGGATCAGATAGACAGATGTTTGATAATAAGTGATCGGCTATCCATAATTTCTGTGTTAACTCAGTATTGTTGTAATAATACTCAGTAGATTTAAACGACTTGCTGCATGTAGTAAAAGAGCTTTCAGCAATGTAGCATGTTGCACGTGGCAGCTGCTGTCTAGTATGAATGTAAACAAGTTAAAATGTGTAAAATGAAAAAAACGATCATGTGAGTGAAGATTATTCCCGATGCTATGATCTTTCGGTTAGCTATTAGTGGTCTAAAGTGATGTAAAAAAGGCTCTGGTTTATATGTCTTGGAAAGGGCCATAGAGGATAAAATTGTAATTCTCATTCGCGTATAATATCGTGATTTGTCAGGAATAGCACCATTCACTGCCGCATAAATTTGTAAGATTTCAAAGTATTTTCAGTGAGCGATTAAAAGCAAGTTATTGCAACTATATAGAATCGCCAAAAAAGAGCGCAGGTCTGAGTCTAATCTCTGTCTGGACTAGTTAATTATCCATATCTCACTCTAATCACATTAAACACTTTAAGACTTTTAGGATCGTCATTAAAAGTGTGACGATTTACATCAAGCTGAAGTAAGTTAATCAGCTGACAAGCAAAGACTTTGAGGTCTGTTAACAGACGGAAATGAATGTTTATACGTCGAGTTTGTTGGATCATATTGAGATGACATTGTAGTTCATGCTGTGAACATTGAGTTACATAATGAACACAATTTAAATTTACTTCGTGAAACAAATATTGTCATATATTCACTGAAGTTTCAATTACATTAACTTTCTGGATTACAATGTAGATTTCAAGATTCTTAGACCTAGATGAATAACCTAACCCCATCTGTTTAAGCAGTGTCACCCGCGAGTGTCTCAACACTAAATTACTGGATTGTCGAGCGTCTTGTTGACCCGTGACTGATTATGGCTAGGATAGAAAATAAAAAACAACTATGCTGCTCGTTTAAATAATCTAACTTCAAATAAACGTACATAAAATCCTTAGCTTGCGTTAGCCAGAACGAATGCCTCAACAGTATACTAATCAGAAGGTAAATATGGAGTGTTGATTACGTTTATTATTGAACCACGTACAGATCATCGAAATTACAGGTACGTTAAGTAAACATGGAAGAGTAGTGCGGAAAAGTGAGTGGACGAACAAGATTAAAATGCATATATATATATATATATATATATATATATATATATATATATATATATATTTATATATAGTGAAATGAATGAATCATCGAATCATTTAAGCTACTAATATTTATCCATTTAATATTAGTTGTCTACGCAAAATACTTCGGATCCATTGATTGAACACTATTAGCAACAATCTATTTTAGGAGAGAACAAACCTCATTCAAGCGGAAGAAGAAATCCGGAAGAACTGCTGAAAGTGGATAGGACATACATTGAGGGAAGAATTCAACTGCGTCGCAAGATAAACCCTCACATGGAATCCTCAAGGCCAAAGGAAAAGAGGAAGACCGAAGAACAAATAACACTAAGAAATGGAGATAGACATGAGAAAAATGAATAAGAATTGGATGGAACTAGAAAAGGAGTCTCAGGACAGAGTGGCCTATGCTCCATTAGAAGTAACAGACATAAGTAAGTAAATAAACAATCGTTTTCTAGTGACAGTTATTAATACGAGATTTCAGGTTAATATTTGCAAACCATCCACTACACAAGATTTCATTATACAAAAGAAAATAAACATTCAATCTATTCTATAGATGTCATAAGTATAAAATGTAATACAATTCATTTATTATACATTTATTGAATACGAATAATAACTGAAGGTGATCACAGTCTATATAGATATAGATATATATAACATCAGTAGTTGTGATCCAATTCATTAATTGACTAGAAACATTGTGTTAATATGAAATATCATTAATATAATAATAAGAATAAGAATAATAGTAATAATGAAACAGAAAACAAAAACACAACAGTATTATTCCTTTAAAAAGAATGAATAACCAAAAAAAAACCCAACTAAAACACAAAGTAAACACAGACCTATTCAATTGACAAACTGTTGACAAATACATTAATGAATATTTATGAAGACATTTATATTGAATTATTCAATTCTTCATTATACACTTATACTCTTTATTGTCATTTGATGATTCCATTAATTCATTATTATTCACTTTCAATTCTGAAGGCTAAAATATATAATGAAACATTAAATAATTCATTGAATATAATAAATAAATCAATAAAAGTATATAAGATTGAACTAAAGATCATATACAACAAGACTTTATAATTGATTATATAACAGAATGTAAAATCTACAAGAACAATATAGAAAGGTTTAGTCTATTTCTAAACTGTTTTATGTTACACTTTGTGCGATAATCCATACCAATCCTTGTGAATATATAAAGTTTAATTTATTAGAATAAGAATTTATGGAGATGATAATAATTTTAACGGCGAGACTCTAATTTAGGGACGAGCCAATCAGAAGCGTTTGAGCGATTTCAAGGTCATGGAGCCAAGTTCAACACGCGATGCTAACATACGATCGGTTCACAGCGGATTTTATAGAGGAGGTGTTTATTGAGATTCTACAACCCTAACCTAAACCCTAATCGTATGGACGAGTTTCTATACCATATGTATTATGAATTCAGAACCTGTGAACCTTTATCAAACCCCAATAAGTTTTTAAATCGTGTAAAAGAAGAATATCCACAGTAATTCATTACATACTTACACTATATTTTCAGATTATAGTCACTGTCTCCTGATTGGCTAATAATTGTCAAGGTCATTTAAGATTCGTTCAAAGGTCGTCCCTAAATTAAAGTCTCGCCATTTTAACAATTGAATTCATGAGTCAATCAAAGCTAGACTGTTGATTTAATGGTTTAAAGATTAAATGTTTACATATACGACTCAAAGTTTTAGGTTCGAGTTCCACGTGTGAGATTGTGAATGTGTACTACTGTACAGTTCAGTACTAGGATGAAAAGATCATTCAGTGTTTTCAGGTTTTCTATGGTGGTCTAGTTTACATTGAAGAATGAATTCAATGGTTTAAAAAGTCTGATTTGTTAGAATTCTATGAGAATTAGAATCATTTGAATACTTAACTGGACAAAATTTTAAATCAATCTAATTAGTTCACTTGATATTGCTTTACTTGAATCTTCCCATTAATGTTTATAACTGAAATTGATCAGTCTCTCCTTTATTGGCATAGATGCATATTGTGCGTATTGTCTCGACTATTGCCTTAATTCACAAGCATAATCGAAGATGGACATTTGCTAGCAATGGAATCCAAGACTTGCAGTGCGTTCCATTTGGTACTAGTCAGCTGGATGTACCTGTATCTCATAGTTGATGTTCACTCTGGGACTCGAAACCAGTGTGTTGTGAGCTAATTATATCCACATAAGTAGTATATAACGATGGTCAGATATGGGATGTATTTCAGTGGAAGATCGAAAGCAAAAGAATGAGAACGGAGAGCAATTGGTATGAAAATGCATGAACAATGAAATCTGAGACAAATGATTGATATTTTGAGAATTAACTATTTACCGTCCGGTTCTCAGATTTTAATGCGATGTCCTGTAATTTTGTGCTGAAATGCAATCGGTTGTTCTCACGTGTATTCCTGTTCACCACATCAGTACTGTTTGCTTCAAACGCCACCGCATTATCCACTTAGCTACTGAGTCCTGATATCCAGTTGCTTGTGAAATAGGGTGAATTTTAAATCCACTTGGTATTGTTTACTTGAATCTTCTCATTGATGTTTAGGACTGCAATTGACTAGTCTCTCTCTCTTAGTGGCATATGTGCATATTACGTGTCCCAAATAGGACGAAACGCGCGTTCTGGATTCCACTGCTAGCCACTATCCATCTTTGCTTAATCTAAGTAGTTGTTACATGACTTACTAAATGCTTGTATAATGATGATGCATCATTGTTAGTCAACAGCTTTAAACATAAAACACTAAAGTGCATGTTTTTTTGTACGTTGTTTATTGCGTTTTGATCGGATGAAAAATAATATTTGATCCAAAGATAGGTAAATTAGATACCCTTTCTGGGTAATTTATTGAGAAAGCTTATCATCGGTGTAATAAATTAATCCATTTAATACAGTGGTTAATTTAAACAAATGAATATCCATTATTCTTTCAATCGTTGACCGTAGTATTCAGTAGAATAACTAAATATTTTGTATCACTTCTTATCATAAAAGCAAATATGGAAGTCTGCAATCCGTTCCGTTATCTTTTTCATTTTGAAATTTTCTGAAGTAAAGAAAAACCTACGAAACCACAACCATCAAATCTACGGATGTCTCAACTCTGAAATCTGTCATAAACTAGTGTTCGATAAATGGTAATTAAAGGGTTAATTATTTTCGGTAACAATATAATCTATTAGATTATTTGGCTTTAAACTGAAATCATCTACGTAGCGAGTCAAAAAATGAGTTGTATTTATATTTATTTGAAGAGGTAATTGAATGATACTGTACTCGATCTCAGATTTTTAGATCGATTTCAATAACTGTTAGAAAAATATATATTGAGTTGTTTAATGAGAGGTCTAGAGGTTAAGCATTTTACGCGCGCAAAATCAAATTTCCAAGATCGAAGTGTCGCATGTGGGACCTTGAATGAGCATTGCTAAGACGTCTCATACTAGGACGAAAAAGCTGTTCAGTGTTTCCAGGTTATCAATGTCGATCTAGCTTAAATGAACTCATGAATTCAAGTATTAATAATAAAAAGAGATTTACTATGTTCGCCTTAGTTCTCAGACTTTAGGGTCAGTTATTATGTTAAGCCCATATACCTTATTTTAGCTTTCTGAGAGACTGATGTATTCATTCTACTTGAGTCACATTTTGATCTTGTTCATTATTCACTTATCAACCTTGACTGTTTTTTTTAATGTAAGCGTATGTGTGTGCACTTGTTATCCTACTCACTGCATGTCCGTCACCTATTTTTATTTGGCTATAAATATTGATTAACGCTTGATTAAATGGAGTTGGCTCACATGCCTTCTCCATTGGACGTCATTTCGCTTCACTCTCTTTTCTTCGTTTCGTTCCTCTGATTTTCCTGTCTAGATCAGTGAGTGTACAAAATATACACATTCAAAAATCCATTCTCATATTTGACTTATTCAATAGCGCAAGTTAAGTCGATGATAGTATAGTGAGGACTGATGATATATATACTTCAATAACAATAATATTGGAGTTAGATTTTGGGCCACTAAAGGAGAATATTCATTGGTAATTAACTTAATCATCATAGAATACTTGACTGAATATAAACATTTTAAGGGTATATATATTACTGAAAAAATGAATAACTAGATAATATGTTCATTTTATACAGAAAGCAAATGTAATCAAATGGGAAATGGCTTTAATGTTTACCACCAAAAACAGCATAATAGATAAACAATTTAAAATGATGTTTGTTTCCATGGAAAGAATAAATAATCATTGGATAAAATTAAATTTCATTAGAATGGATTAGATAAATTAGATAAAATCACGCTATATATTCTTATATGAAGTCATTCTCATCATAAAACTCATTTATAATAAGTTATAGATGAAATAAATGGTGGTCTAACTTCAAATGATTCATGATCTCAACTATTGAAATTACTACAATCTCCACAAAACCCTCTTTTCATACTAATCAATATCTGCTCACTAGTAACTGGCTTCAAGAAATATATCCTGGAGTTTTAGTGAAAAGTAGTGACCAGTGGAGTTCAACAGGGTCTGCTGTGAGATAGTAACTCACTGAAGGCGACGGTAATACATGAACACCATTGGATACTAGTTCAGTGGTCAAGTGGGTAAGCGCTCGCGCGTGAGACTCATGAGTCCTGCATCGGAATCCGGGGGTCGGTACCGTGTGTACTCATTGCTGAGTCCCACAAGAGGACAGGTTTTCTATGGTGGTCTAACTTCAATTGAATTATGACCTCAACTATCGAAATAGTTAAAAAAACAACTAAAACTTACTTGAATAAGGAAAGAAAGAGAAAATGCAAATAATTTGATCACCATATCAATCCTTTTTTTTTAGATATGTAAGTTGGATTTGCGATAAAAATAGGTTGTTACTTAACTATTTAACTGTTTTGTTTATTTATCACTCAAAAGACTGTGTGTCATCATTCACTACATGATCCGTATCTATATTATTTACACGTATATGTTTCTTTTATACTAGACCCAATTTTTTCTACAAAAGTATTTACTACTTAAATAATCAGGGTATTTATCCTGTGAAATTTGGACGAAGTGAATAAACTTTCTATCATATTTAGTGATTGAACTGATAGTATGAAGCGTTTGAGCCCTAGTGATTCTTGATTGAAGGTGTTAATTTCAGCTGAGTTCAACTGTTTTGTATACGTGATTTATAATTTGTAAATACAAATCTTATTATGATTTACATTATAATGGATGAAAAAAATGATTGTAATACATTGTTGTTTGTCATTAACTGTTTTTAATGGTCTAATCACATCATGCAAAATATGAAATCCCATAAGTGTTATTTTATTATTAACTCAGACTTGTTGTTTTTGGAAATATAACCGTTAGCTAACTAATTGTTCTTGAGGTCCTCTGAAGGTACCTGAAAGGGAAATCGGATTGAAGGTGGTCTTAGAGACCTGAAAGCGTGGCTGCAGTGCCCAATGGACAACTGCTTGAGGTTGGTCACATACGACCTTTTTGAGAGTAATTTTCTTCTTAGCTCCGTATTGTTGGGATCTTACCACCGGAGACGGATATCCGTGGGGTGATTCGAGGTGTGCATTTTTAGGGTCGACCTCTTCTAACCCCACACCACCTTGTGGGAAGACAGCATCGCTGTTATGTTAGTTGTCTGAAAAAAAACCTTATTGCCATCACACCTCTGTACAGTCAGAAATACGACTTTGCCCTCAGACCATGAGTTTGATGCTTTTAGTCCTACCGCTCTTCAACCGATCTGTCTGGCATGATAGGACCTTGGGGAACGATTGTTCAGCCAGTATAGCTCGATTGGTTCATCACAATAGGCAAGCTTGACCACCACGTCAAGGTAGCATTAACGGTCGGGTGTTACTGAGGTGGTGGTAATCAATGTTAATTAATTATCTTATAACAGTTAATGATTTAATGTCATGTGACAAATCGGCGAGACTATAATTTATGGACGAACCAATCACGTATAAGATAACAGGTATCGGATAAATAGATGTTAGTTCGTGATGAAAAGCCTACATTCAAGTTTCTAACATTAATCCTCAACTGTAAATCATAATTATGATTCCTCACACAGGTTTATAATTCTCATTTGGTTCTATTTATTAGGTGGACACTCTCAAAGTCAGTCTAGCGTCGCTCAAAGGTAGTCCATAAATTATAGTCTCATCAACAAATCAGTTTCATTATTGGAGATTTCTAATTTAAATCCATTACTTTTATTTAATTGAAACAATAAACGTAAATTGACAGTTTAATTAAACCGTAATATTTTGTTAAATTTACTCAAATCCTGGTATGACCTAATTTAAACAGTGTCATAGTAAGATCAAGTGACTATCCACAGCTATCAGATTTTCATTAGCTGTTCAAATTAGATTGGTTCGTGATCTCCAAAAGCATTCGGGTTATTATTCGTGTAACTATACATGTAAAATCAAGCTAATTTCTCTTCCATATTCCACAATATTCTAGAGTATTACTAACCGTCTGTAAAGGAATTTTGTTCAACCTAACTTCATAACCAACTAATCATAATCGTAGGTTTTTTAAACTTTACTGCTAATTTACAAGTTGATGTTTATAAGAAAAAAATATTAATACACTTATTGGATTTACATGAATCTCAATGATATCCACATGTAAAGTATGATTATTTGTACAATTTACATGATTATTCTCTTCTTCAGACTCTTTCTCCGGTTGCATCAATAAGAATGGAATGTACAATGAACATCGGCTAGTGAAGTACACAAGAAAAAGAGATAAAAATGTATAAGCTAAAAAGAAAAAATACACTTATACTTTAATTATGAATTAATCAAGGCAAAAAGAAAAAAATAAATTCATTAGTTAATTAAAGCTAGACTACCATTGAAAACCTGGGAGCACTGGATGGCTGTTTCGTTCTAGTATGGCACTCCTTAGAAATGTGCATTCATGATCCCGTCCATGAGACTCGAATCCGGAACCTTCAGACTCGCGCGGGAACATTTAACCTCTAGACCACTAGGCGGGCACCGAATAGTGTCAATATCTAACTTTAATACTACATAAATACTAAAATCTTCACAAATTACCATACCAATAATAACTGTGTGCTCACCAGTGGCTAGCTTCAAGATGAATTTCCTGGAGTTCAAGTGAGAAGCCGTAACCAACAGAGCCCAATTCGTGTAGGGTGAAAACAGTTATCCACCTCAGATAAGGAATGAAGAGTTGTACCCGATCATTGATTGATTGAAGTTATACATACCGTTGGATACCGGCTCAGTGGTCTAGAGATTAGGCATTCGCATGTGAGACCTAATGTCCTGTGTTCGAGTCCCACATGCTGGATGGTGGATGCATACTATTAGGTAGGATGAAACGGCCGTTCAGTGCTTCCAGATTTTCAATGGTAATCTAGATCAACTCAATTCGTGAATTGAACTATGAAAATACAATTCATTATTGTTTATTGAAGATAAAATTGTTCATTAAATTTACATAAAAATGAAACGAACTGTCTTCTATTAGGTTTCAGTGAGAAGAAAATTAAGTGACACTTTCAAATAAATCTATTTCTAAGTATTTATTTTGTTATTTTCCAAAATAATTACTATAATTATATAGGGCAACATTATTGTGAGTTAATCATTATAAATTATTTAAGGTCAAGAAGAACTAATCCACATCGAGTTCTACAGAGCAAGCTGTAAGCCGTATGTGGAGAAATTCCAACATTTCACTTCTACCTAAAGTTTGTGCTCTTAATGTTTTCCAGAAGAACGACGTAAGCTCCACGACCAAACTGTTATATTCTAGCGAAGATTAAATTACAAATACCTTCTGAAACCTATTAATGGACTAATATTATCTATATAATTTTATGGTATAACTATTCAGTAATCAGATGATGTATGTCTAAATTTCCCTTATTATAAGCTTCATTTTTACCTATAATTTATTATTATCTGATTTGCTGTTCTTACGTTATACTGAGTTTATTGATTACAGTCTCCCATGTGTACAGCCACTTTTGAGTTTATTTTGTATAAATTTTATTTCATATTTTATGATGCGGTGCGGTCTGTTTCACTGATATATAAACCAAGTATGTTTGAAATGAATGGTTCGCATGGCGGAAGCCGCTGATGTTCTGGAATCAGCTGAATGGGCTAATTGAACAAAAGACCAATAAGACGCTAGACTGATCAGATAGGTCGAACAACATTGGTTTAGTGCAGTACAAGAGTGAATAAGTCGTATTTCAACTGGCGAATAAATTACGTGATAAGTAGCCGGACCTTAAAGTCACAACACAAACCATCTAGCTCAAAGAACAAAACTCCATCAAAATATTTCATATAAAAATAATTATGAATAAAGAAGAATTAGAATTGACAATCTGTCATGAAAGTGAATTTGTGGAATAAATAATTTGTGAAATGACAAGATAATTCAATATTTAATTATTATCAGAAAGGGTTTTGTGGAGATTTTAGTAATTTCAATAGTTGAATTCATGGGTCGATTGAAGCTAGACTACCATCGAAAACCTGGAAGCATTGGACGGCCGATTCGATCTAGTATGGGACTACTCAGCAATGCACGTATATGATCCCGCCCTCGCGAGATTCGAACCCAGGACCTATTGATCTCGCGCGTTAGCGCTTAACCACTAGATCATTGAGCCGGCCGGCATCCAATGGTGTTAATGTCTAGCTTCAAGCAGTCCACGAAATTGCGCCACCGTAACCATTGTCTTCAATGAGCCGAGATCTCACAACAGACCTGGTTGAACTCCACTGGTCACGGCTTCTCACTAGAACTCCAGGAGTGTCTCTTGAAGTCAGATACTAGTGAGCAAAAGCACATGCGTTTGCATCAATCCAGTGTTTTTGTTCAGGTATTTAATGAATAAATTATGTTAGTAAATTGTCTACAACAACAGTTCATTAGTGTAGAGAATATTAGTCGTAAACCTATTAAATATATTTGGTAGCATATTCATTATAAGTTGAATTGTCGATTTCAGATTTGTAAATGTGGACTGCTGTGGAGTCTCCTTCTGTGACGAAATAGCTTTCTAATACCTCTAGGTTTTCACTAGTTGTCTAAATTCAATAAGTTCTTGACCATGATTGATATGTTTTATCAAGAGCCTGCTTTAGCTAAACAACCAGCGAAAATCATGATGCGTTGAACAATTGTTTCTTCTACATACGGAACACTAAAACAGTGAACATCGGCAACCCTGCTAGATATTAAAACCATGATCTTTAGGTTCCATTATGAGCATTTAACCTTCAAATAAACGGGTTAACTTTCATTCAATAGTTCAGATTTTTGAACAATATTGAATAATGTTTGCATAACTACATTCAATCTGCAATGTCAAATACAAATTAAGTAATCTCCACAAACTTCGTAAACTAACAATATCACAATTGGTAATTTATTTTAATAGTATATCTGCTGCAACGTTAAGTACAAATTACTAACTAGAAACTAAAAATAAAGGAAATTATGGATTCAATTTCAAAATTTAACAGCACTACCATAACATTTGATATGCCGATGATTCTATTCGTATTAAATATTCGGGTATATATTTTAATTTAATATACAAGTGATAAACAAATTATATTTGTCAGAATAGGGTTGTGGAGATTATTAAGTTTTTAATTGAGATCATGAACTGATTGACGTTAGACCAACATTGAAAACGTGGAAGTACTGGACGGCAGTTTCGTCCTATTGTGCTACTCCTCAGTAGTGCGCATCCACGAGTTTGCTCACGGGATTCGAACCCAGAGCCTTCAGTTTCGCACGCGAACGCTTAACTTCTAGACCACTGAGTTGGCATCCATTGATGTTAATGTTTAACCTAAACCAATCCGAAAAATTTATATTTAGAAAAGTAATGAAATATACATACGCATAAGCAATAAACCAGCAATGTATTTATTCGAATAAAGAGGTCTATTCAAATTGAAAAAATTCTGTTTACACTTCGTTGTTCGCTTTTTCTTTTAAATGACTTATTTAAAATAGGAATAATCATTTGGAATGATCCTAATTTTTTTGAAAAAAGTGACGTTCAATACCTGGATGTTTTTTCAACCAAACCTAGTTAAAGGAAGCTAATTTCGAAGCTAACTATTCATCTTCTAACCACTTTTATATATTTAGTCACCTTGTTTTTTTAGTTAAACAATAATACCATTGTTCTTAATAATAAACCTTCTTGTATTTTTTTTTACTAACTGATCATAATTTGATAGCAGATTGTTTAATACATTTTCACGCACAAGTTATGATGTGTCAAGTTGTTGGGGATGCTAGATCACCAGAAATCACTTAGTAAACTTCTCATGTTTATAATCTTACTATAGAAATTTGGATTTCCTATATTGTCGTCGAAAACACTCATTTTGTAACCTTTAAGTTGTTCTTGCCACCTGTAAAGACCTTAAATATTATTAATTCTTTTGCTTTTTTGATAGGCTGTTTTGTGACGTTTTTCAAGGATACTTTTGTATTATGAACGTATGCTTGACTTGTATACTTGTCGTTCGTTCTTCCAGGCTGCCTGTAGAATACATATATTTCCCCGACTGAATTCAGTCTTTTCGCTCTAATTATCAGCGTTAGGGTGTAGTGGGATAGCTTAGCTGTTATTGTGTTGCTAACTCTTGTTCCGTTCATCAGGCATAAGTGGTTCTGTAATCCATCAACCTTAGCGAAAGCGATTAACATAAATAATGATAGAATCATTAACACCAACGTCTGATTTACCTGATTCCAATCCAGCATCTAACTCGAACACAATAGGAAATTACAATTCCATGTAGCTCTTTATTAGCTTTTATTACCAGGTCTGTAGAGCTAAAAAAATTGAACAGAACATTAAAGCATGCGAAGAGTTATCAAGTGAGAAGTTATTATTTGTATGTGTGATATTTGTCATCCTATAATTGTCACAGTGAATATATAAACTTCTGTCAGTATACGTATATAGAAATGTTGACTTCTATTTTAACCTTCCAATTATTTATTTCACTAATTGATCTAAAAGGCACACAGACTTTATGTGAATAATCATGTTCTGAAATAATAACACACTCGAAACAAATTGATAGTTATCATGATTACTTAACCGTTGATATATTGATTTCATTATAAGACGTTTTTTCTGTATAAATGATTACTTTAAAAGATCGATTATTTCATGACACTTTCAACTTCATCTGAACTCCATCTGGAGCTCCTCTGGGACTACTGTCGATCCCAATCCCGGATAAAGGTGGAGGGTTGGGCATGGGGTTAGCGACCCAATCCCATAGAAAACTAACTCGCTAAAAAACGCTAACCATAAAAAAATTGTTACACCTTATTAATTGAACATACTTTTTACTATAATACAGTGTTATGGGCGACAATACATCACTTTTAAGCTTGATTTTGAATGGTTGTTATTAGATACCCTCGAAGATTAATGGTACTTATTATTAAACTAAGTAATCTCTATAAGAAACACCTTTTGTATACCTTTAGGTTGTAGGTTCACATAGTTGGTAGCGACGTTTTTATATATTGGTGAAATTCTGATAAATCCAAAGTACTTTATAGAGGCTCTCTACTCGAACACAACTGACCGAGTGAGAGCTTATGGCGAACTGTCATCAGAATTGATTACCTCAAGTGGTGTTCGTCAAGTCTATCCACTCTTTCCGTTCTTGTTTAACTTTGTCGTTGAAGTGCTTATAGAGATAACACTTTCCCTATCTAAATCTCCAGGGGCTGAACGTCTACCAGGAGATTCACTTGTTGACTTAGAATATATCGATGACATAGTTCTATTTGGTGAAGACGATAAAAAAATGCAGTCTTTTGACCACTATAAGCAACAATGCAAGCATGTTCGGTATGCGATTCTCCCCATCGAAATGCGAAATGCTGCTTCAGGATTGGGTTGCATTGACACCTGAACTGATGATACAGAGTGAAGTAGTTGGGCGTGTCGACCGCTTCACTTATCTTGGGAGTCTCAACAAACCTTGTGGCCTGGTGTGTGACAAAATCTCAGCACGGATACAGAAGGCTCGATTAGCTCTTGCCAACGTACGTCATTTATGGTGTATGCGAGATATCAGTCTACCAACCCAAGGGCGGGTTTACTACGCAGCAGTTCGTTCCTTCCTACATTATGGCTGTGAAATATGGCCGGTTAGAGTGGAGAAAATTCGCAGGTTACCAGTATTCTATCATAAGTGTCTTCGAACCACTGCTCGTATATCCTGGGACCACGGAGTAAGTAATGCAATAGTTAGGAAACGATTACTACGTAAGGACGACAAATCAATCGATGAAGTAGTGAAACTTGATAAGTTGAGATGGCTGAGACATGTGTTACTTATGCGATTGCCGCGACGAGCGATGTTTTGTGGTGGCACAAGTCCATGAAGTCACTGAAAAGTAGACTGAGCCATGTTAGTAGGTGTAGACTACCTGATTGAGATCCGCAAGATGATAACAACCGATGGACAGAGATCTTGAATGAAATGGTTCGAAATTGTTTGCAATAGCGCAGATGCATCCACTCTTTGTTTTCTCCCAAATTCTAATCTTCCGAATTCTTCATGTCCATTTCTTTTTACTCTTTCCAAATTTATTTCACTGGATTATACTTCTTGAATAACACCTTCAAACCCTAATCTTTCCGATTATTGCTTATACTTTTACCACTTCTACCACTACGGAATTTGAGTCGACAACTGCATCTCTGTGCTAATGTAGTGCGACAACTCGAACTGATGTACAGGCGCACGAAGTTCTACGCTGTACTGACTGACTCAAAAACAATGTTTATTTGAAGAATAATTGGATTATCAAAGCTCAATAACTTAAACATAAAAAAACGTTTAAAATTTTTGAAGAGCGCATTTAGTTAACTAATTATTATTAGAAATCTGTACCTGCAAACGGTTTTATATTGTTTAATTTACTTTCAACACTATTTCAAATCTGATTTCTGTTTGCAAATGAGGTTTGTTGAACTCCGTTATTTTATCATTATCTTATTACCCCTTCTTATCTTACAGTCTGTTAATGGCAATTATAATCTTTAATATAGAGGTTCGTCTTAGCATAAGGCTTCTTAATAATGTGGATCCATGACTCCACCATAGTCCTGGATTCAAATCCCGCGGGCAGAATCGTGCATGGACACTGTCGAGAAGTTCCACAATAGAACGAAACGGTCGTCCAGTGCTTCCAGGTTTAGTTTCAAATGGCTTATGAATTCAATTATTAAATCAATAAAATCTCCACAAAACTCCCCTTCTAATAACAATTCTTACTTACTTATTTACATTTTTATTAATATTTTGCATCATTTTTAAACATTCTTTAAAATTTTCAGATAAATTCAATACTGTTGATGAAGCTAACCAATTTTTCTCTTGTCTTATATAACCATCTAATGCAACACCACGTTTTAATAGATTATCTGTTAAATTTGTATTTAACATTGTTGTATATTTCCATTGTTGTTCTCCAGCTTGAGGTAGATTAACTCTGTATAGAAAAAAGTGAAAATATTTAAGAATAGAAGAAAAAAGGAGGCAAATATCATAGATATAAATGAATGAAAATTTGAGGATAAGGTATTATGTAATAGGCATATGCATTAGAACTGATTATACTCAAAAAGTCATACTTCTTAGACTGTGTTTATGCTATTGGTATTTAGAATTTGCTTTTGTCTTTTCATATTTACGGTTTTTGTCCTAAGCTATACGATATTGCGTAATACGAAGTTCAATAAAAGATACCCTGATTTATTCGAACAACCCAGAGTTCTTATTGGTCACTTTTCTGTCTAGCCACTGCCTGTTAAGTTCAGAACGCCAATCTCAGCCTCCGCAACACGAACCATATATTTCAGACATACTAAGTTTATATATAAATAAATCAGAACAATTCGCACCATAAAATAGAAAATAACATTTGTACAAGATCAAGCCAAAAGTGGCTGTGATTGTCAGAAACTGTTACTAACACATTAGAAATAACTCAAGGATAGTAAATTGTATGATAATATTCAATAAGTCGGATAAATGAGTACAATGAAAGAATATGAATATATGCATGAAATAGTTACTCAATAGTCATACAATAAGAATATATTTATAATACAACTTCATAAGTGATGCCTAACGGTTACCGCTCATTTATTCTCGTTCGGATGTAACATTAACAATTTAGCCAACCGGTTTCTTTTTACTAAAAAAGGTGTGTTTTTTTATAATTAATTGATAAATTCACTATTTCTAGGAGGTCCCATGATGGAAAATAATTTGAAGAAGTCTATAAGTATCAAAATTTATTGATTTTTTTTTACTTATTTTGAAGTACATTGTATGTATGTACGTACATAATTTTAACTATTTTAAGAGTGTTATGGTCTTTGAGTTGAATAGTCTGATTTCGCTTTGAAATACATACTGATGATATTGTTCAGTAGAATGGTGAAACCTTCACAATCAAATCATCTAACTCGGAGACCACAACATCTTCAATATTTCCATTATAAGTTATAAATATTCTCTATATTTCATAATTGTTCTTCATGATTCAAACTTAGATTATAAGATACATAGCGGCATAAATTCACCAAAAAAAATGCTTAAGGTTTATTCTCTTTCCTCTTTGGTAAATTCATGTTAACCAAGTATTACTATCCTTCACTTTTTCAGCATTAAAAAGTATACTTTCCAGGAATAATTAATCATGACAACATAATGGGTTTAAATTACTTACATGACAGGGTTTGGCTAGAAGTTATATTGAAGACATATCCGTATGGTACAGCAAGGGTGTAAATAAATATAATAGACTAAATATTGTAAATATATACCTTATGTAAAAGAACATTGTGACAACAGCTCAAACGGCTAGATTTTACGACCGGATAAAGGTTCAGGTGTCGTTCTAATGAATACAGCTGATTATTTCACTAAGATGAAACCAATCCTAGACGACCAACTGAGGTTCAAGGTAGATAATTCCATATAAGATTTAACTGAATCAACAGAAAAACGAATCACAGGCATGCTTAGAGAACTTTTAAAAGGAAAATGATTAGTAGTTCTACTTATAATGATCTAAAACCACGTCGCTCACGTCTACCTCTAACTGTTGTCACAATCAATGTTGTAGTGTTCTTTCATGTAAGGTATATATTTACAATATTCAATCTATTAAATTTATTTACCCCCTTGCTATACTATACGAATATGTCTTTAACATAACTTTTAACCAAACCTCTCATATAAGCAATTTAAACCCATTATATGATTATGATTTTAAATATCACAGGTTGTAAGCAGCTGATGAGAACCTACGAAATAAGAATGAATTCATACTATTCTATTAGAATCTTTGTTCTTACTCTTTTCAAAATGATCAAGGGAACTATTTGTATGTAATCATGATAAGTTAGAATATCTCTGAAGCTATCCCAGGTTAAAATAAAAATCTAATATACGACTAAAGAAGATTTATCATGACTATCCCAATACGGATTGACAATTTATTACTGAGCTATCATATTTATATATATACGATTTAGGAAATATCTATATTCAATCCAATATTTTTGTTGTTGTAGAATTTCTGCATAAAATATGTTCGTATATATACTGGTGCCTTGATTAATGACTTACAAATCTATCTGGGCTTTTTTTCTTTAATTTAAAAAGTGCCATAATCTACATAGTGTAATATTGATAACTTTATTTATTTATTATTGTTTAATTATTAGTTGAGATGGATGGTGACTACGAGTGGGAATTATCAGCTGGATACATCTGCATCTCAGAGTTAACGTTCACTCTACAATTCGAATCCAATACCGTCCGCCTAAAATTCTATCACATTATCCATTTAACTTCGGAGTTCAGATAGCTACCAGTTTGTGTAATGAAGTGAAGTTTTAGTTCATTTTTGTATTTATTATTTGAATGTTCCTATGGATGTTGTTTAGAACTGCAACAGATCAGTATCTTTTAATGCTTATGGTTTAAGCCAACATCCAGACAATCTGCATAAGATATACATAAGTGACTGATCACTTACAATTCTAAACATTAATTGAAATATTCAAACAAACAATACAACTAGTGAATTATGTGACTAATTATTGTTTCTGATTTGTAACTATCTAAAAATAACATTGATGTTGTTTCAAATATTTTGAATAAGAATATCAATGTAAAAAAGTTATAGCTTTCAGTACGCATGATCAAATATGTTAACACAAATTGAACGATATGAGGCAAGATAAAATGTTGATCAAAATAATTATGGTTATATTCCATGAAACAATATGAACACGAGAAAATACTATGTAGAAGTTATAGTAGAAAACGGTGAACATTTATAGACGGAATACACCCATTAAACATTAAATAAGAAAGATTAGTTCAGCTAAGAGTTCTCTTTTCGGCGAATTCACTTTCAAATCTATATATATATACTTATTATCCGAATGGGTTTTGTGGAGATTTTTAGAAATTTCACAAGTGGAAATCATGAGCCAATTGAAGCTAGACCACCAAGGAAAACATGGAAGCACTGGACGGCCGTTTCGTCCTAGTATGTGGCTCCTCAGCAGTGCGCACCAACGAACCCGCCCCCCGCGGGACTCGAACCCAGGACCCTCTGGCATCGCCCGCGAGCACTTAACCATTAGACCACTGAGCCGGCATTCAACGGTGTTAATGTCTAACTTGAACCAATTCACGAAGTTGCGCCACCGTACACCATTGTCTTCAGTGAGTTCCTATCTCCTGGAGTTCTAGTGAGAAGTCGTTACCAGTGGAGTCCAACCAGGTCTGTTATAAGATAAGAACTCACTGAAGACAATGGTGTACGGTGGCGCAACTTCGTGAATTGGTTCAAGTTAGACATTAACACCGTTGAATGCCGGCTCAGTGGTCTAATGGTTAAGTGCTCGCGGGCGATGCCAGAGGGTCCTGGGTTCGAGTCCCGCGGGGGGCGGGTTCGTTGGTGCGCACTGCTGAGGAGCCACATACTAGGACGAAACGGCCGTCCAGTGCTTCCAGGTTTTCCATGGTGGTCTAGCTTCAATTGGATCATGATTTCAACTTGTGAAATATATACTTATGTTTACAGGATGATAATAATACTGACAATGAACTTCTGTTAGACGTAGTGACAGTAAGGTCAAATAAACAAAGATATTAAAAAATTAAAAAAACTTTTTAAAACAAGGAAAGTTTAATAATCGTTCGATTGTTATTGGCTTAAGTATTCATCAAAAGATAGATAGGGAAATTGTCATTGGGAAAGGATGGCTCAGCATGATAGAATAAAATGTTGAAACAGAGATGAAATGTAATCGGAATGATCGTGGAAATAAAAACAAACCAATTTGGGGACTTCTATTTACCTTGTAGATGACTTTGAACGCAGAGTCTGTTTTGATTGAATGACCTGTGTTCATAAAGTGTTCGATTATAGAACTTCTTATCGAGCTGTTGCCTCCTCTTCTTAGCCACGCCGTACAATATTCTTGAATTTTTTCGGATAAAGTACGCATCAAACGACCTATATACGTAGCTCCACAAGATCATGTAAATTTGTACTAAATATCCCCACTATAAAAAATTCACTTAATTCTCATTGTGTAAAGAATGTTATAAGTACTATTTAGAAAGCAATGAAGTTACTTTGAAAACAGTAAACAAGAAATAGCTTATGATAAAGAACTAAATATAGTGACGCTTTCATTGTGACACATTGTATATAAGGTGTATCTTTACCGTTAATACATATTCTATTCATTAGAGTATATAATGTTTCACTCATATCTAAACACTTCCAATTTATTGCATGAATTTAAAACAGAAACTAACAATTAATTTCTTTCGGCTGATTAACATTCATTTCGATATTTTACCATATAAAATGCTCAAATTTTCCAAAAGAAACGGTACCCTTTATGAATACATTCAAATAATCTCATCTATAGGAAGGGTTAACTTATAGAACTGAATTAAAGATTAACATTTAATTTGATTAGAAAAGTACGACGTCAAACTATAAAACGTTAACAAAAAGCTATTTCTAAGTGAAGATAGATAGTAGTTAGCAGTGGAATCTACGACGTTCGTTTCGTCCTCTTTGAGACTCGTCAGCTGGATGTACATTCATCTCAGAGTTAATATTTACTCTAGGACTCAGACCCAATACCGTTTGCTTCAAACACCATTAAAGCAAACGATAGTGATTTCGAGTCCCAGAGTGATCACCAACTCTGAGATGTAGGTGCATCCAGCTGACACTCCTAAACTAGGACGAAACGCGTGTCGTGGATTCCACCGCTAGCCACCAACCATCTTTGCTTATAATACCTGTGAATATCGAGGCAATACGCACAGTATGTATATATGCCAATAAGAAACTGATCAATTGCAGTCCTAAACATCAATGGGAAGATTCAAGTAAAAAATACCAAATGACTTCAAAAATCTATTTCATTTTAGATATATATCTGAAAATATTAGTTATTCGAAGAAAAATTGTTTTAAAACAATGAATGAAATTTTTTTATTGTTTATATCTCATCTTGAATGTTAGATTTTCAAAAGTAAGACTACAGTAAATAGAAGAATATATCATACTTCTACTGCGTATCAGTAATTGAACAATAAGTAATTTTCAACTGACTAAACTGTTATCGTTTGTTCTGTACTTCATTCTATTTTACTTGTCTTGAGCCAACAAATCCTAGATTCACTATTAACTACGTTTGATAAGAGTATTTTCAATGATAGATCGTTAATCTTTAACTAACAAACTGACCCCTATGTTTTACAATTCAATAATGAAGTTAGCTACTTTTAAATGTGATAGTTTGATAGGTAACGATCTAGAGTTTTAAACACATTTGAACCTCCACATGAGCCTTAATAATAAGATAAAGGTATATATGTCCGACAAACCTTAAACTAAACGAAACGTGCTTGCTAGGTTCTACTACCAACCAATAACTAAATTATAACACACAGTTTTGTTTTCGAGCATAATCTCATAAGTTTTAGTCTTATTACTTGTAATACCCCTATAAAGATAATGAATGGTAACTTTTGGAATCCATTTATGGACCAGTGCTATGCGTATATTTTTATTGTATAATTGTTAAATAACTAAACTGTTCATATTCATGTCCATCTTATTGTGAGCTTTATTTTGACTTATGAACTATTATTCTACGATTTACCATTCTTGAATTACGCTCTTCTATTAATAACTACCTCCCTCATTCACAGTCACATTTGGCCAATTCTTGTACAAATGTTGTTTTATATTTTATAGTACGGTGTAGTCTATCCGGTACGTATATAAACCCCGTATGTTTGAAATAGAATGATTCATATTGCAGAGGCTTAGATTGGTGTTCTGGACTTAACTGGCTGGGCTAGTCAGGAAGCAGAACTGGTAAGTACTCTAGACTGCTCGCACGGGTTTATTCGTCACTGGTCCGATCGATAATTCACTGTTCTTTAATTGGCGGTATTGTTACCTTGTACACAGGTCAAAAGATATAACATTACTAATGTATGATTCTACACTAAGTGTTCTGTATTTTAACATTATTGTCGTATATACCCCTATCATAAAGTGAATATTTTCAAACAACGATTCATAAATACAAACATCTTTTAACAGTCAAGTACGCTTTATTTTCCGAAAAAGTTTGTATATATACACTCTCATAGATGTTTAATTTTTTTGTTGTCATCCGAAAATTCGTTATAGTAGTCTTGTGATTTAATGAACCAAAATAGATAAATCTTAAAACTTCACACTTAAAAAAGTATAGGAAACATTCATTTTAGAATCAACCAATAAATCATTGTTGTTAAACAAGTTTATTGAGAAAAAATTGTGTAAAAAAATGTAATAATGACAAAAATTAAGAGAAAATCTAACCGTCTAAAATTTTATGGTAAGATGGCAGTTACTTCTGTATTAAGTAATTAGTAGCTTATTTTAATGAAAACTTTATTTCACAAATTGAAATCATGAGTCAATTGAAGCTAGGCCACAATGGAAAACCTAGGGGCACTGGACGGCCGTCTCGTCTTAGTTTGGGACTACTCAGCAGTGCGCGTCCACGATCCCACATCCCGCGAGACTTGAACCCAGGACCTATCAGTCTCGCGCCAGGCGCTTAACCAACTAGACCACTGAGCCGGCATCCAAGGGTGTTAATGTCTTACTGGTAGGTCCTGGGTTCAAATCTCGCTGGGTGCGGGATCGTGGATGCGCACTGCTGAGGAGTCCCATATTAGGACAAAACAGCTGTCCAATGCTTCCAGGCTTTCCATGGTGGTCTAGCTTCAACCGACTCATGATTTCAATCTATCAAGTTTCTAAAATCTCCACAAACTCCTTCTGAAAACTTTATTGTCAATTTCGTTGAAAGATAGAATAGCCGCTTGTCATTTGATGATATTCAATTACATTGGGTTAGTTTACAATAAACATATAGACAATTTAATTTATGCATTTTCCATTGTAGTGTGATGAATCTGCAAAAAAATGTACAACCTTTTTGAATGATTTGTGTATATACAATGATTTCCATAAAGTTGAATTCACGAGTCTTTCTAAAATAGATCACTATTTAATATCTAAAAGTACTGGACGTCGGTTTTGTCCTAGTACAGGACTCCTTAGTAGTACGCAACCACGATTCCAAACGATTACTACAAATCCTCATACTGATATCATTATTTTGTAGTAAATGTCAAAATCAAAACGTTTTTTTGGTATATTGGTACAATATTCGATTTGTTCGTAAATAGTTTTTTCTACAATCTCAGCGTTATTTATGAACAATAATTTACATTAACAGGGACAACGTCGAATACCGTCGGTAAATTCACATATTACAATAGCGTTTCTTATCTAGTACATCTTTATAACATGATTCACATGAGTGGTCACATTGAAGAAATGTCAAACTCATAACTTCTTTTTTCTATTTATTTACTGCGGTAACTGAGTTTGAATGATATTTCTACTCTCTAGTAACAAAACAAACACTATCTGATCAAATTAAATCATTTTAAGTATTTTCGAAAAATCTTCTCTTTTAAGAAAACAACAAAACAATTCAAGTATTTGTTTGCCAGTATGAATCCAACGAACTATCAAGTCGCAAACGTGACTATTTGAATACTGTAGTGTAGTTCAATTAATGACTATTTGAAATATAACAACCTTCCTTTTCAGTTGAACCAACAAATAAAAAACAGCTCATTATTAAAAATGGAAGTCGATAACAAAACATGTTTATTCACATGATATCAATTTGATCAAATCTTTCAAAATTTTTTGCCTGACAATAAGCCGAAAATCATTACATTACTAGTATTTGACCACAGATGCCTTAGAAATATTGTTTACATCTTCTGGGATCACCGGGTAAGTAATAGTGACGTTAAACGCACGGTATTCAAGAATGTTCGTTAATGTGAATCTTTATCGACTGAGATGGTTGGACCACGTGTTACGTATGCCTGAACACTGATTACACGACGCGTAATGCTGACTAGTGTCGAAGACGATGGAAGAAAGTTTGGATAGGCCAAACCAAAACGTAGCATCAGTGCTTGAAGTCCGTAACTTCTAGTCCTAGCCATGTTGGTAGGTGCAGACTACTTGGATGGGGTCGGCGTGACTGTCATAACCAATAGTTGGAGACTCTGGATGATATGGCTCATAATTGATCATAATGTCGTAGGTGTATGCACTCTTTGTCTTCCCTTAAACTATGAGACTAAAATCGCTTCATATCTTTCTTTCTACAAACTAATTCTTTTTTCCTGTACTATATCTATATATGCAATCTTTCTTTCATATATTACCACCACTGAATTAACTATTTCGATAAATTCAGTGTTCATCTTGTTGTATGGCAACTTGGACCGATGCATATATGTGCCCGGTCCTACGTTGTCGCTGACTGATTGACTGACTAACATCTATAAAGATATTTATTTTAAAAAAAGATTACTTACTTGCAGAAATGCTTATCTATTGTCGATCGATACCTTCCTTTGGTCAAGACATAAATTTCAGCAATTTGTACAACTGAATGTAAGAAAAATATTTATTTAGAAAAGATATAAGCTTAGCAAATAACCACCGTTCAACGAAACAATGAAGTAATTCTTGGAAGCATTGACAGTTAGTACATAAAAAACCAACTACGGAAAACTTCATTACAACGTTGCTTTAGCTAAGATATTTAATGATAGTCAGTTTGGTTTCATTTTCTTAGCGTATACAATGAATGCACCCAAACTAAACAAGTGTTGAATTAAAATACAGAACAGTGCACAGCTGTTTTGTTCAAATATGGTATTTGTTTAGCATTATATACCTATGATCTAACAGCAAAACGTACTTAGAATGATTAAGCTTGTTATCAAGCTTTCAGCTATGACACCTGTTATTCGCTATGCATTGGTTCACATCTTCATTTTCAGCCAGTTCATGTAACTGACTAACCAACATCCACTGATGATAATATTGACTTTATATCAGATACGTTTAAACTTAAATGATCATAGTCTCTCAGTTACCAGTAAGTGTTTGATTAACACGAATGATACAAGTAATTTATGGAAATTATTCAGTTTACAATTGACATCATTGACTAACTTTACCCTGATGATTATAGTAAACCAGGTAAATATTGGGTATGTTTTTGCCATAATTTTAGCTTTTTTTTATATCATGTATATCTACTAAGAGTTTCACACTAAGACTAAACGGTTCCTCAATGTTTTCTCTTATAATGTCTATAATTAATAATAATCACCAACATTTATAAACCATATTCATTTCATCAATTAACTAATCAAAAGTATATCAAGCTTTTCACTCTCCAATAATCAATATTAATCGAACAATACACAAATTAATCTAGATTTTTGTTATATATCAATGAACCATACTAACTTTGAGGTGAAACTATCCATTATAAATAGATTCACTAATTATTTATTCTTTCTTTTTAATTTTATTAATTATCAGATTAGTGGATGGTTTTTCATGTCAGTTTATAATAAGGTCAAAAGAAAATAGCTTATCATTTATGTAACTTCTTATCAATGATTCAATCTCAATGGTTAAGATCATGAATCAGTTGAAGCTAGACCACCATGGAGAACCTGGAAGCACTGGACGGCCGTTTCGTCCTATTGTAAGACTCCTCAGCAGTGTGCATCCACGACCTCGCCCCCTGCGAGATTCAAACCAAGGACCTACTGGTTTCGCGCGCAAGCACTTAACCACTAGACCACTGAGCTGGCATCCAACGGTGTTAATGTCTAACTTCAACTAATCCACTAAATTCAGCGACACATCCACCATTATTTTCAGTGAGTTACTATCTTACAACAGACTTGGATGAACTCGACTGGTCGCTACTTCTCACTAGAACTCCAGTATATACCTCGTGAAGCCAGTCACAAAATATGGCATTCATTGATTGACACCTTGTATTTAAGTAATATATTTTATTCTAAAATCAATCAGTGTTCAAAAGAATTTCTTGAAGAGTAGAATCAGATTTTGTTTTTAGAACATTCAATATAATTTATTAGTTAAATCATCTGATCATCTGACTGGTACCGTATCTACATCTTCATTCATTACAGATTGAAAACAATTTCCATAAAGAAACCAATGTATTTAGTTCATTTTTTCTTTATAAATCTAATTGATCAACAAATGAAATTATAGATAATTTGAACAACTAAAAAGTATATTTGATAAGATAAATGATCACTTTGAATTTATCTTGACGTGTACACTACTTATATGTAACAGATATAAGTAGTATGTAGCAAGAATTGAAAATAGTATGTTTATCAGAAGATTGAAATAAAGTGAAGTGAAAGAAAAATGAAGAGCAATCAGAATAACAATGAAATTGAAAGAATGACGATATATGTGAAGGATCGCTAATGAAAGTTATGCGAATAATGTATTTAATCTATGATACAATGGTACAATGGTTTACCGTACCTAAATCTTTGTTCACTACAGTCCTATCACCTATTGATCACATATTGATTAGCCTAATCACTTTATTCACTGGTTGAAATTCAGTTCATTTTAGGATTATTATAATTATTTATTAAATTAATTCCAGTAAAATAATTTACAAATCAGTCATTTTAAATACTTAAGTCTTGACAGCTTTTGGGTTTCCTATACCTCTTTGGATTACCACATCTTTTTTATCAACAAAATGATTACTTCAGTACTTCTGTTGTCTCATGATAACTTTCGTCAATCTTCTTAATTTGTTTATTCTCATAAAAATATGCACACCTTCCTTGTGACTACCCACAACATGATCTTTTCATACTGATTTTGTTTATATTCATCAGTTCAATATATATTGTAGTGAACGAAGATTTAGGTACGGTAAACCATTGTATGATTTTATGTAAAATCAAACAGTGAGTTTATGAAATATGAAAATCATACATTAAATACAGTATTCACATAACTTTCATTAGTTATCATTTACCAACTTCATCATTCTTCCAATTTCGTTGTTATTCTGTTTGCTCTTCATTTTTCTTCCTCGTCACTTTATTTCAGTCTTTGTTTGATAAACACTCTATTTTCAATTCCTGCTACATACTACTTATATCTGTCCGCATAAGTAGTGCATGACAGTGTAATATAATTTACGGTTGTTTTTTTTAAACTGATCGTATAAATAAAAACCTTACGACACACACACACACACAAAGTTAAACGAATTAGCATTTGATGTCTAATTTAGTTTTGCTTTAAAAAGTAAATCATCAAAAACAGTAAACTATAAATGGTAATGTTTAAGAATAAATATGAATTTACTTGCTACTTGTAACTTCCTAACAGGTAATTGACATAAATTATCCAATACTATTGATACACATACAGATTCATCATGATAATACAACTGAAAAAGATAATAAAACAATAAATTTGAACGTTGAATGATATTTTGTCAATGTTTATACAAGATACATGTTTATATGCGTGCATATAATACTAGATTTTTAATTAAATATGTAATCCCTGAAAATCAGTGGATGAATTAAGCATCGGTTTTGTATATTTCCAACTAAACCTTTAATAATTATAGTAGTTAAATCCTTTTCATCTTTCAATAGTTGGAATCATGAGTCAATTGAAGCAAGATCACCATGTAAAACCTGGAAGTACTGGACGGCCATTTCGTCCGAGTATGGACTTTCCAACAATGCACATACACGATCCCGTCCCCAGTGAGATTCGAACCCAGGACCTATCAGTCTCGCACCAGGCGCATTTGTTTTAGTTACTGTACTACATCAAAGCAGTCTGAAAAAATTATTATTGAGCATAGAGAATCTAACTCTAGAAGTGTAAAGAAATTGGTCAAAATAAAGGTATCACTAAATTTTGTTACACAGACCTAGACTTCAAAAACACGCTATCACTTTTATTTAAAATTGAGTAGTTCGCTACAATAAATTCACAATTAAAATTGAACAAACAAATTTTTAGTTCGTCACAAACTTTACAACTTGAGTAGAAATCTTTTGATCAATATTTTTCAATTCTAGTTAGTTCGGATATTACATAATTTTCCTTCAATATAATAAATGAGTTCTTGTCTTGATCCATGACGCGCGTTTCGTCCTGTTTGGGCCTCGTCAGCTGGATGTACCTGCATCTCAGAGGACGTCTCATAGGATGAAACGCGCACCCTGGATTCCACTGCTAGCCACTATCCATTTTTGCTTATAAAAGCTTGTGAATTAAGACTGATCAATTGCAGTCTTAAACCTCAATGGGAAGATACAAGCAAAACGATATCAAGTGTATTATGTTATAATGCTATATCTTATCAAGTAATCATTGGTGCAAGCAGAAAATATATATATAAGTGATAGTGTATAAGCGTTCCTTTATATGGAAAAACAGGTATACACTAAGAATTCATTCAAAAATCATCAATATATGGACTATTAATATCAAATGTTCATTCAGGACAAAATATATGACTATGTTGAGAAATCGGAGTCACAGTGTATAGTTATATATTTTTCACTGTATACTCCATTGAATATGTTCCTTAATTCGAAACTCATCAGTCGACTATTTCTTAAAGATGTTTACTTATTTAAAATATGTGATAGTTATGCTTTAAATAACTGTATCTCATTTACAATTGAATATGAATGTAGCAACTAGTGAATATTAACATGTAGTTATATACAATATCCGTGGTTGATAAAAAAGACTACAGTTTACTAATCCAGTAACGCTATGTGTAAACTAGCAAATGTTCTGATAAACCAGATGTTATATAACGAAAGATGGAAAAAGAAAGGAAGAAAATTTTTGAAAAAAAACAACAAATGATCAACTAATGATAAATTCATGAGGAAAAACTTTTAGTGCCACTCAGTGAAATGTACTGAATATAGCAACTGTTTATATAATCTCGTTATTCATTCTTTAGGCTAAAAAATAAATTTATATCTGACAATATATCTTGAAAAGAATCAACTTTTCATATTACCAAATATGACATACACAATTTGAAATGGATAATGGTTTGTACTCATAACAAATTCAATAGGCTCAATTCACTCAATTCGTTGCTGGGCATTTTTGAATTCAGTCAGTTTGTGATACTGCTTCAAAATTAAATGATTTTATCGATAACCAATACTGATAATTACCATGTGCTCACTAGTGAGGGAATCCTTGGGGTTCTAGTGAGAAGTCGTGACTAGTGGAGCTAATCCTTCTAGGGTAAAGACAGGTATCTACGTTGGTACAATGGAAGATGGTCGCGCAATTTTGTGGATCGCTTGAGGTTAGATATTAGCACCGTTAGATGCCGGGTCAGTGATCTAGTAGGTTAAGCGTTCGCGCGTGATACTGACAATCCTGTGTTCGAATCCTGCGAGCGGGATCATGGATGCGCACTGCTGAGGAGTCTTACATTAGGACTAAACGGCCGTTCGTTGCTCCCAGATTTTCTATGATGGTCAAACATCAAACGGTTCAAGATCTCAATCAATATTGAAGTTCAATCCAATTGGTTGACATCATAGATCAATGTTTTACAATATAGAGTCGAAGATTTAAGTGATTTTGAGTAGTTTCATTTCTATATTTTTAAAAGTCAATTTAGACAGCAGTCAGCTGATTTATACCTAGAAAAATTGATTGATTTTATGACATTTGTTGTTTCTAACTATTCGCTTTAGTATTAGGAAGTTCATCAGACTTTCACATTACAAGACAATTTTCTGTGATTAATAGAAACTAATATACATATGACAACATTATCAACTACTGAATAAAATTAATCATATGTGAATCATGGATAAGTTATATTCAGCAGAGACGACAGTAGCTAGCAGTGGAATCTAGGATACACATTTTGTTCTACTTGGGACTCATCTGTTGGATGCACCTGGATGTAACTACAGGCCTAAACAGCGATGGGAAAATTCAAACAACCAACACAAAAATGAATTAGATTATATTCAGGTCTCAAACTAGTTATCCTAGTGAGGAGTGAAAATTGTATAGTCAAAATGTAATTATCAAGATGAGGTTGTGGGGATTATTAAGTTTTTGATTGAGATCATGAATCGATTGACTGGAGCTAATCCGTGTCAGGTAGATATAGGTATCTACCACTGACAATGGACGATGGTCGCGCAATATCGTGGATTAGTTGAGGGTAGACATTAACACTGTTAGATGCCAGTTCAGTGGTCTAAAGGTTAAGTGTTCTTGAACAAAACCGAAGGTATTGGGCCCGAGTCCCACATGAAGGATCGTGTGTGCGCACTGACAAGGAATCTCATACTAGGACGAAACGGCCGCCCAATGCTTCCAGATTTTCCGTAGTGGTCTAGCTTCGAATGACACATGATCTCATCATCAATCGATTCATGATCTTGTTCATAAAAGATCATTGTCGGCTGTATTCTAACATAAAAGTACAATTCCTGGTTGAGTTATATGGCAGGTTCAAACATTTTTCAAAATAATTTAGTAGTATGGAGTTTATCATCAGTTTTGACACTTAAAACTAATAGAGTTATTTGCCTGGTTTTATTTCCTGAGCGAATAAAAACCAATCAGTAGTAGGGAATGCATTATGAATGAAAATGATAATAAACGATATTGAATCAGTTAACATTGTTTCAATTATTATCACTACTGCAAGATCAAATGAATATGAATAAGTTGACATAGTAATGTTAATCAAAGTTTAAAAAAATGAAGTGCAGAAAATCTAGCTCACTAACTGAAAGTATAAAACTGATGAATGATAAAACAAACAAAATTATTGCTAGTTGATTGATCACTAGATGGTGATCAATGTCATGTATGTCAAGTCCTTCTTCGTGCAAATCGAATGCTATCGACCAAGTTGCAATGTAACCACTAGTCTTGGTTACTGGACACTGCGTGCAGTATGTTTTAGGTAATATGGTGGTTGAAGGTGGTCAACAGGAAACCGTGGACCCGAGTTTCGTGCTACTTGGCACTCGTCAGCAATGTGTACCTGTAATCTTGATGGAACTGGTGCTCCCTGACGGATTCGATCCCGTATCACCCAGCTTCACAGTCAGAGACGTTACCACTGAGCTATTTGAGCGTCCGATCTGCACTAAGAAGGACATGACAGACATGACATTGATCACTACCCAGTGATCAATCAATTGTAATTACATTTCAGTCCTACAGGAGGTTGGTCGCGGCCCGGATGTAAAATTAAAAAACACCACCTAGTTTTCAGATTGTTTCAAAACATTTCAAGTTGATTATAACATCATATTAGTTTTGTAATAGATATCCGATAAGCAGTAACTAGATTTGAGATGAACTTATCGTCTTGTAGATTCGAATAAGTATCAATTGAATTTATTGTTTGTATTCAACATTGGATAAGGATTAGGCTAATTAACTGACTGAGGTTGAATAAACAGAATACAACTAGATATTTTGATAGTACCACATGTGTCTAAAGCCTTTGACAATTTTGAATTTCAAGTTATATGTAGTATACTATTAGTGAAAATGTAATTCAACCATTGAGCATTGATAACGTGTCAATAATTCTCTTATATAAATCATTAAAATGACTATCTTTATGAAGTCTTTAGTATGCATTGTGTATAAGCATGATTACTTCATTATGCATAAATATTATATAATCATTTGTCTACGCAACAGTAAACACAGTTTATTCAATTCATAAATATTATTATTTTATCGGTTGAACTTACGGGTCAATCTAAGTTAGACTACCAATGAAAATCTTGAAGCAATCGATAAGCGTTTCATCTCGGTATGGAACATTTACGATCCTGAACGTGAGACACAAACCAAAGTCTTTTAGTCTCCTATGCGAGTGCTTAACCTTTAGACCACTGAGTTCGAGTCCTGTCATTGAGATCTTGGTTGTGTACTGCTGTAGAATCCCATGTGTGGCGCATATATACTTGGTGCCCTCTTGTACCCATATTTATATGTGCAAGTAAATAATAAATAAATAGTAGAATCCCATTCTAGGACGAAACGGCTATCTAGCTCTTCAAACTTTTCAATGGTAGTCTAACTTAGATTGACTCATAAATTCAATTCATGAAAATATTACAGTCATATTTTAATAAGATTATTACAAGAAAAGAAATATATTGGTAATCAAAATTACTGGTTTTTCAATAGATGCTTGAATAAATAATTCACCATTACGACATGGTAAATTAATAGATTTTTTAATTGATTCAATAATAGGTTCTAAAGGACGATGTGTTATTTTTGGTCCAGCAGTTAATTTTCTTAAAACAATTGTTACTGTTGAACTAAAGAAAAAAGAAAATAAAATAAAAATGATTATTCTTTATTCAGTAAGTTAAATGTTGATCAAAATATTATTAATTATCAGTAAAGGTTTGCGGAAATTTTAGAAATTTCACAGATTGAAATCATCAGCCGGTTGAAGCTAGACCACCATGGAAAACCTGGAAGCATTGGATGGCCGTTTCGTCCTAGTATGAGACTCCTCGGTAGTGCGCACTCACGATCTCACACCCCGCGAGATTCGAACCCAGGACTCATACTAGGACAAAATGGCCGTCCAGTGCTATCAGGTTTTCCATGGTGGTCTAGCTTCAATTAACTCATGATTTAAATCTGTGATATTATTAATTAATCATAGAAATAATGTTGAACTGTGTTTGATCTATTTGTAGACTTAGTCTGATAGTTCAAAGACAAAGTTTCAATGGATCATTGTGTCATAAAATAGCCAGTGAAAAAATTTAAAACATATTATTATATTAGATTTGTTTGATTCAACTCAATCATGTATTGTTTATAAGAGCTTAGAAAATAAACAACTTGTTACTTAACTTCAATCTTAACAGACAATAAAACTATATTAACCCCTTCTGATACTAATCAACATATGCTCACCGGTGAATTGCTCCAAGAGATATTTCCTAGAGTTCTAGTGAAAAGTTGTGACCAGTGGCGTTCAACCGGGTGTGTTGTGAGATAGTAACTCACTGAAGACAGTGGTAGACGGTGGCTAAATTTCGTGGATTGGTTGAAGTTAGATATTAATATCATTAGATGCCGGCTCAGTGGTCTAGTGGTTAAGTGCTCGCGCGCGAGACTGACAGGTTCTGGATTGGAATCCCACAAGACAGGATCCTGGATGCGCACTGCTGAGGAGTCCCACAATATGACGAGATGGCCGTCCAGTGCTTCCAGGTTTTCTACGGTGATCTAGTTTTAAATGACTCATGATCTCAACCATTGAAATTGTTGTTTTTTAGAGGGGTAAATCAAAAATTTTTAAAAATACAAACACACACATATATATTGAATGTTGACATATTTCATTGAATTAACAAACAGTGGCTTATTTCTGATAAGTTAAACAGTTGATGATATATGTCAAGCTATTGGATTATTAAATCTTTCGTCTTCAGACTGTTGTAATTGATAGAATGATTCATGTGTTTCCAATGACATAATATAAGCTTGAATTCAGGCTTGACTACCGTAATTTGTAAAGTTATGAATATTATACGGAATATATATGTTACAATTACTTCTAAATGTTTTAGCAGGTTCAAATTACGTTTCAGACCATTTTAAACAAAATCATACTTTCATTATTATTAGGCAGGCAAATATCATCAGAATAAGCTGCCTTGTGAAGCCTTTCAATTTTTTTTTAACAAAAGGATACTGAATGCATAGGCAGTAAACGAATTCTCTGAATGGTGGTTTCTCAAGGTCATTTACAAAACAAATGGTTCCTTCATAGAGTTTGTATTGTAGAAGAAACAAAAGTGTACGTATATAAGTCATTCATGAGATTTCCAAATGTATTTTAAAAATATGCATAATGGCGAGACTATAATTTATGGGTGAACCAATCACGTATAAGATAACAGGTCTCGAATTTTTGGCATGAAATTCACTCGTCCATTTAGCTTAATAGAGTATTGGCATTATCCCTGATGTTAGTTCGTGATGAAAACACTAAATCTAATTCCTAATCTTAATCATCAACTGTCAATTATGATTATAATTCCTCATACTAATTTGATTCTGTTTATTAAGTGGACACTTTTAAGGTCAGTCTAGCATCGCACAAAGATCATCCATAAATTATACTTTCACTGGAATAATTTGTCGGTGAATAAAGATTGATTTACTGATTAATAAAAACAATTATTGAAACGTATCTAACAGTAAAATTCTCATTTTTACATGTAACTAACATAACAAATTTGCAAACGGTCATAGAGGTATATTACTGAGTAAAACACAGATTAAAAGTATTTTAAAAACAAAATATGGTAAATTATCAACGATAGATCAATTCGAGAATAATTATCATTGAGAATGGTTGTAATAGATATTTAGTAATGAATAGAAATGGAATGATTATTACTGTATAATTCAGTAAGAGCATCTAAGTAGTTTACTTCAACATCGACGAGTACATTTGACTGAATCCATCGAACCGCTTAAAGTACTATTTTTATTTGGTGCTCATTTAATTTGGTGACAAGGTCATTTTATATTATTTGATTCAAAATAGTTTTAGTATTGCAAATGATTGACTTACTATAAGTCACTGAATACAATGGTGTGTTATAGTGTACATTGTAAACTGAATAGAATAATTCAGACAAGATTTTAATAAATAAATGATGAACCGGTCTATACTATTAAAGAAGTATGTATTTGTAAAACTTCAGCGAATGAATTTGGATTAAATCTAATGTTTCACCTAGCAATATGATCCAAGCTTTTTCAAGGAAATTTAATCAATCATCAAAATTATGCTTCATTAAATTTCCTTGTAAAAAACTTGGATCAGATTATTAGGCGAAATGTTGGATTCAAGTTTTACAAATACATTCTTCTTGTTTAATGTCTAACATCAACTTGGTACCCAAATACTGTGAAATTATTCGATCATATTTAGATTAAATTTCTTATATATGGTCCATACGACGTTTTCAATGAATTATATGTAGTGAAAATATGTGGAAATCAATGAAAAGAACTGAAACAAACTAAACCAACACTAATTTTACAAACAACCCATCTATAAGATGGTAATTAGAATCTAGGCTAGCAGTGATATATTCAATAAACGTTTCATCGAAAATTCTATGTAACTACATATATCCGAACAGTAGTATTATCTATTAAGTATCGTTTTTACTGTAATCGTATGAATTAAGAGATATATACTTAACAGAAATGAAAATAACCACTTTCATTAATAAAACATATTTCAATAGTTGAGATCATGAGTCAAATGAAGCTAGACCATCATGGAAAACCTGAAAGCATTGGACAGCCGTTTCGTTCTATTGTGAAACTCCTCGACAGCGTGCATCCACCACCTCATTTCGTGTGATCCAAACCCAGGACCTATGGGTCTTGCGCGCGTGAACACTTAACCTCTAGACCACTGTTCATTTATTCGAATCTCTTTGTACACTGGGATGAAATCATCTGAAAAAATATCTTTTTTTTATGAAGAACTACACAATATTCTTATATCTTTTCAGTTAATGAATCTCAAAGTGTTCCAAAGAATATTTCGTTTTTCATATTGTCAAACATATTTTTAAGTTATTTGATTACATAATTTAATTTATTTAATGGTAATACTAATGTGTATTGTCTGTAAAATCTAAACTCTGACAATATAAATTATTAGTAAAGGGGTTGTAGAGATTATTAAGTTTTTGATTGAGATCATGAACCGATTGATGTTAGACCAACTTTGGAAAACTGGAAGCACTGGACGGCCATTTCGTCGAATTGTGGGACTCCTCAGCAGTGCGCATCCACCAGTGGAGCTAATCCATGCCGGGTAGAAACAGTACAATGGAAGATGGTCGCGCGTTTTCGTGGATTGGTTGGTGTTAGACACTATCACCATTGGATGCCGGCTCAGTGGTTCAGTAGGTTAAGCATTCGCGAGCGAGACCGAAGGCCCTGGGTTTGAATCCCGCGAATGGGATCGTGGATGTGCACTGCTGAGGAGTCACACAATAGGACGAAACGGCCGTCTAGTGCTTACAGGTTTTTAATGGTGGTCTATCATCAATCGGTTCATGAACTAAATCAAAAATATAAATTACATTGTAAGTGATCGTTTAAAAATGAGTAACTATTAATAATCTTGCAGTTTTGTTTCAGACATTTTATATTGAACGAGAACACAAAAGTGGAGACAACCAATATACAGAACCCCTTAGTAAAATCTGACCACTATATAATAAATACTTCATTTGCATAATATCGATCAACTGTCTCAGACTTTGTTGTTCCTTTGTTTCCACACCAAATAATCTCTGTTCTCATTCTCTTCTCTTCCATCTATTTAACGTTTTGCCACCAAGGATTCCTTTTTCGATTGGTGATACATACTACTTATATCTATCGACGTCAGTAGCACACACCACAGTATATACAAACTGACGTTATAAACATTTTATATATCCTTAATTTTAATTGATAAAATAAATGGTATATTTTAGTGAAAGCTAATTACTTTATAACTTTGTTCGTTTAGGAGTCTGGTTATTGTATATTCTATGTTTAACAACAATAATATCAGAAGGGGTTTTGTGGAGATTGTAGTAATTTCAACGGCCATCCAGTGCTTCCAGGTTTTCCATGGTGGTATAGCTATAATTGACTCATGATCTCAACTGTTGAAATTAAAAAATTTTAGACAATTCTTTTTTGTCACAAATTCACGTGTTACATATGGATAGACTTTAAGGAACATGACAAAATATTCTTAGCATCATTTGAATCTTGACTGGTTACATTTGTATTCAACTGTATTACACCTTACGTAAAAGAAGTAATCAGGCGAGTAATGAATCTAAAGTAATAAAAGTCTGTCAGTAATATATAGTAAGATTAAGATGGCTAAAATTATTTCCTTCTGTCAGTAGACTAGTAAGAACAATAGCTATGTGGATAACGTAATGACGTTTGAAGTAAACGGTACTGGCTTCGAATCGTGAAGTGAATATCAACTCTGAGATGTAGGTACATCTAGCTGATGAATCCCAAATACAACAAAACGTACATCCTGCATTCCACTGCTAGCTATCATCCATCTTTGCTTAGAAAGCTTGTGACTTAAGACAATATAGAAACAATCCGAACAGGATGTACATATACCAATAAGAGACTGATCGATTTCAATCTTAAACATCACTGGAAAGTTTCAAACAAACAATACTAGTTGAATTCAATCTATGTTTTGTTATAAAATATAATATTGAGAATTTATTTTCTAGGATGAAAGTGATAATAAAATTTTAGATATCAAACATAACTTACCTTGTTGGTTGATTGTCATCAATTCGTTTACCAATAAATGCGGTCAATTCATAATTAATACCATAAGGCTAATAATAAATAAAATAAAATTGTGTATATTAAATATTTTTTTTACTTAGTAAAATGATATGATTTGGTGAGATTATAATTTATGGACGAACTTTGAGCGACACTAGACTGACCTTAAGAAGAGTGTCCATCTGATAAATAGGACAAAATGAGGGTTATAATCCAATGTTTAGAATTAGAATTATGATTTACAGTTGATAGTTAATGTAAGGAATTAGATTTAATGTTTTCATCATGAACTAACATCAGATATAATGCTAAGACTCTATTAAGGTAAATAGTTGAGTGAATTTCTTGCCGAAATCCGTTACCTGTTATCTTATACGTGACTGGTTTGTCCATAAGTTATAGTGATTATTTTGTTAGAAATATAAAGAGTATGACCTATATTCAAATAGAATTTCTATCGGTGGACTCTAGCTGACTATATAAGTTTTCAATTTCATTAGGAGTTACTTACTTACTTACACCTCTTACTCTCAATGGAGCATAGGCCGCCGACCAGTATTCTCTAATCCACTCTGTCCTTTCTATTTCTATCCAAGTTTTGTTTATTCTTCTCATATCTGTCACCATTTCCCGACGTAATGTGTTCTTTAGTCTTTCTCTTCTCCTGTAGCTTTGTAGATTCCATGTGAAGGATTGCCTTGAGAAGCAGTTGGATGCTATCCTCAATGTACGTCCTATCCACTTCCATCGCTTCTTCCTGATTCGTTCTTCCGCTGGAATGTTGTTTGTTCTCTCCCTTAGTAGAATGTTGCTGATAGTACATGGCTAACGGATCTGAAATATTTTGCTTAGACAACTGTTAATAAACACTTGTATCTTCAGGATGATGACTTTCGTAGTTCTCCAGGTTTCCGCCCCATACAGTAGAACTGTCTTGACATTCTGACCTTGGTGTTGGTTTGAGTTCCAGATGTTCTTCGGTTGTAAATATGCTGCTCTTGCTTTGCCGATCCGCGCCTTAACATCTGCATCAGATCCACCGTATTCATCAATGATTTTGCTCAGATATGTAGAGGTTTTTACATTTTCCAAATCTTATCCGTCAAGTGTGATTCGATTTTTGTATGTTATGTTGTATCGAAGAATCTTGCTTTCCCTTTGTGTATGTTGAGACCTACTGCTGCTACACAGGTCGTCTTCTGGATTTGTTGTTGTGTGTGCGATAGAAGAGCCAAATCATCTGCGAAGTCTAGATCCTCCAGCCGCATCCCATTTATCCACTGTATCACATTCTTCCCCCCAGATGTTGATGTCTTTATGACCCAGTCGGTCACCAGGAGAGAGAGTAAAGATGAGAGTAAGCAACCTTATCTAACAACGGTCTTTACCTCAAACGAGTCTGTCAGTTGTTCTCTTTATTACAAGTAATAAATCAAAAACCTAGAACGAAAACGTTTCCATGATATTTAATAAGGAACCTGTAATGTCTATAAGATACCAAATATTTGTTTCTCCTCCTTTAACATCCTAAATGTTTGAGTGATATAAATCAAGGGAAAAAATCGTTACTGATTAATTAATTAAGTGTGACATGTGAAGATTAAAAAAACCAATATTGAAGTAAGCTAGCTGTTTTATATTGAGTGTAATTCATCAATTAAATAATAAATGTATGGTACTTCATGATTTTGAATGGGACTTCAATTTTTTTATGTGATCTGTTCATAAAAACCATCGATAAGAAATCAAGGAAACTATCAAAGTAAATGTGAAGTACTTTAAAGAATTAGATCAATTAAATAACGACTATTTGTCAAAATATATATATATCGTGATTTATAATTGACTGTACCGATGAATGATCATATAATTAGGTTAAATTATAAAGCTGAAAACTGGATTATATCATACACATCATATAAATAATAGTATTTATACAATATCATTTAATGCCTATATTGTTGCATAGCAATCAACAGGATTGACTAATACTTTTGTTATAAAAATATATACAGTAAATAATGAAACAAGTCAATAATTAAGCAATGATGGATAGTGGCTAGGAGTGGAGTCCCGGACGCGCGTTTCGTCCTATTCGGGACTCTTCAGCTGGATGTACCTGCATCTCAGAGAGTTGATGTTCACTCTGAGACTGGGTTCGAGTCTCAGAGTGAACATCAACTCTCTGAGATGCAGGTACATCCAGCTGAAGAGTCCCGAATAGGATGAAACGCGCGTCCTGGATTCCACTGCTAGCCACTATCCATCAGTGCTTACAAATAGCTTGTGACTTCAGGCAATATTGAGGCATACGCACAGTATGCACATATGCCAATAACAGACTGATCAATTGTAGAGTTAAACCTTAATGGAAAGATACAAGCCAAACAATACCAAGTGGATTCAATAATTAAGCTTGAATATATATAGTAAATTATATTCACAGTAAGATATTTAAAAAAATTGAATCAATAAATATTTCTCTTCAATTAGTTTCTTATCAAAACTCTAAATTAATGTATAAGTTCATTCACTTAATGTTTCTTTTTTAGGTCTACAGATATTACTTAATTGATTAATGATATGAATTCGTTACAAACTTTCTCGATAATTCCAATATATCAGTCAGTCAGCTACAACGTAGGACCAGGCACTTATGTGCATCGGTCCAGGTTGCCATACCGCATCAACACAACAAGATGAACACCAGATTCATAACAGTGGTTAGGTAAAAGGTGGTAATATATAAGAGAAAGATTGCATATAGAGATATAGTACAAGAAGAAAGAATTGGTTCGTAGAAAGAAAGATATGAAGCGATTTTAATCTCATAGTTTAAGGGAAGACAGGGAGTGTATACACCGACGCCATTGTGATCGATTCTGAGCCATGTCACCAAGAGTCTCCAACCATTGGTTACGATAGTCACGCGGACCCCAACAAAGTAGTCTGCATCTACCAACATGGCTCAGGCTAACAGTTAGTGACTTCAAGCACTGATGCCACGTTTTGGTTTGGCCGCCCCTAACTTTCTTCCAACCATCTCCAGCACCGGATAGCATTGCACGACGTGGTAATCGGTGTTCGGTGTTCCAATATATATTCAGCTTTGATTTAGAATATCATCTTATATAATCTGTCATTCTTCTTAATAATATAATAGTTTAGTTTTCATGACACTCATTTTATTAATTACATATTATTACTACTAGAAAAAATATGGATATTAGATTACTTAACTTCAAACTTAGTGAATCCATTACATGTAAAAATTATATTTGAAATAATCTCAGAGATTGAAATTTAAATAATTTCAACGTTTCGTCCAGTTAACCTGTCTGGACTTCTTCATGATAATAATCAAAATCAAAATCATCAAAGAAATATATAACTTCTATTTACTCAGCGCCCAATTTCTGACAAACTATTCGTTCTAATCTTGACGAATATTCGTATAAATTAGTGAATCCATGTTGTTGTGTAATGAATTTTTTATAATTAGCCGATTATATAATATTTTTTTGGACTTAATTTCACATTTGATGAACTTCTAAATGATTTGAGGGGAAAGATTGTAAATTTAATAGTTGAATTCACGTGTCAGTTGAAGGTTAATCAACATGGAGAACTTGGAAGCACTGGATGGCCATTTCATCCCATTTTGGGACTCCTCAGTATTGCACATCCAAGATCCTACCCACGGGGTTCGAATAAATCATGGAGGCTCATTGTTAAGAACATTCATAACAGTATGAAACAACTGCTGAAATTACTACAATCTTCACAAAACCCCTCCTAATACTAATCAACATATGCTCACTAGTGACTGGCTTCAAGAGGTATATCATGGAGTTCTAGTGTGAAGTAGTGACCAGTGGAGTTCAACCGAGTCTGTTGTGAGATATTAACTCACTGATGACAATGGTGAGTGTGTCGCTCAATTTCGTGGATTGGTTGACGATAAACATTGACACAATTAGATGCCGACTCAGTGGTCTAGTTGGTTAAGCGCCTGACACGAAACTGATAAGTCTTGGGTTCGGATCCCGCGAGGCATGGTAGTGGGTTGCGCACTGCTGAGGAGTCCCATAATAGGACGAAACGGCCGTCCAGTGCTTCCAGGTTTTCCATGGTAGTCTAGCTTCAATTGACTTATGATCTCATCTGTTGATATTAAATTAATATAATATCCACAGAAACCTCTTTCTGATTAAAATATTATAAAATTGGCAAAGTACCATTTCTTTATTGTTAATTTTATTCTTAATTGCAAAACAGATTACTTTATAGATTTGATGAAGAATGTATTAAAGAGATAATAGTTTTTTTCATTCAATTTATTGTTTTGATTGCATTCTTATAGAATTTATTCATCATATATAAGAGACATTGATTAAAACAACAAAATTTGAATAACTACTACTATTCCTATTAATTTTGCGGAAAAAAATTAAAACCGGTTCAAATCTTCCCCAATATGGATGTTAATGACTATAATTAATCAATCCCCAACTGGAATATATATATTCTGTACTAATTGCCTGGATATTGTTATTTAGTTAGAAGTACGTTTATTCAAATTCTAGATTCTAATGATAAATACCATCACACTTTACTGAATATATTTATTACAGAATGATATAATCATGACAATGAGCTCAAAATAAACAAAAACACCAGTAAAGACTGATTCATAGTAGTCTTAATTCATCAACAACAGGAAGACTCAACCATACAGAGTTTATATATATATCCTATTTGAACAAATGAATGTCTATATGGACTCAGCAACCCAATAACTAACGTGCTGAGAGTTTAGCTCAAATCCCAAAGAATACATCAATACAAAGATAACACTTTAAATATTCATGTGTACATTATGTACATTCATTATATATCATAATTGTATAATTCAATTTCCATTATAATTATTAAAATAACTAATTAAAGCATATGAATGAATTTAGTTTAGACAAAATATAATTAAATCTATGATAATAAGAGACTTATACAAACAAACGGATTACATTATTACTTTTTATTTTTACTT